CTACAGAGACTTTATAGAATTGTAACAAACATTTGACTACCATGTGGTGTTCCGCTTTTAATTCAATGTTATGTCATATGTGTGACGTAATGTCATCTACACATGTATTTTAGAAAGGAAAACAATATTTCAGTGTGTTTCTCCTGTTTCCATCATTAGAAATAGCATTGATATGAACGTGAGAGCATTAGGCCCCACAGTAGAAGGAAAGGATCAGAGAAGGATTTTACGGCTCTTGGTCTATATTCCCACACGGACAGGTCCATCGAACTCCAGCGGAATCCGCAGTCAGGTCCCCCTTCCCAGGGACCAGAATGCCGGGGCCTCCCGTCCGTGCCCGCGGGGGGAAAGCTGCCATCCTTTCTCATAGAGGGGCTCTCGGGCGACTGTGTCATTATTAGCAGAAGGCTGTTTCCTAGGCATGGAATTTGGACAACAGAAGCATCACAGCTCTGGGAGGCCGTCTCTATGGCCCCCTAAAGCAGCGGTTCTCAACCTGTGGGTCGCGACCCCTTTGGCGGTCGAACGACCCTTTCACAGGGGTTGCCTAAGACCATCCTGCCTATCAGATATTTACACGACGATTCATCACAGCAGCAACATGACAGTGATGAAGTAGCAACGGAAATAATTTTATGGTTGGGTCACCACATGAGGAACTGTATTTAAAGGGCCAGAAGGTTGAGAACCGCTGCCTGAAAGCCTAGTGAACCACCCCTTCGCCGCATGGGGGGGGGGTATTTCTCCAGAGACAGGGCAGTTTGTCCAGGGACCCCAGAAGTAGGATCTTAGGCACCATGTAAGTGCCACTGGCCTCCCTCCTCTCCCTGAACCCATTTTCCTTCCCACGCATCTCCTCTCGGACAGGGTCCTTTGTAGCTGGCTCCGGTTATCACTGATTGAAGTCACAATCAAGAGCTGTTTCTCTGGGCCTGGTCGGTGATGCAAGGCCAGCTTTCCCGAATGTGGAGGGCGGATTACTGTCTCAGCTGATTTATGAAACCGGGAGTTCGGGAAGGGTTTCAACTTCTCTGAATTTTTTCCAAGTTGACTAATCTGCTCTTTGTGTTGGGAAATCAACACGAACCCTTTTCCCAGCAGCCTTGACTGCTCTCTCCGTAGCTAGGAGAGGGGGTAAGCGGGCTTATGAAACATTCTAGAGTCCACACCAACCCCCATCACACCTGGTATTCCCCTCCGACTTTTCACCCAGAGGGAGCAGGCAGCTTCGCCAGGGACATTTCTCTTGACCACTGCTTCCTTTGGGAGTCATATAAAAAATAAAAATATAAATATATATTTATTTCAGAGAGGAAGGGAGAGGGGGAGAGAGAGAGAGATAGAAACATCAATGATGAGAAAGAATCATTGATCAGCTGCCTCCTGCACATCCCCTACTGGGGGGGTGCGATCCTACATTAGAATGAAATACCCGGAGCCGGCGAGCCCACAGAGATGGTATCATTGCGTTAGTATCTGCCTAGGACTAGAGGGTTGAGGGTAAGTCACTGCAAGAAGTACAAAGTTTTGTGTTACCAGTGTATACAGTATATTTTTATTGATTTCAGAGAGGGAGAGATAGAAACATCAATGATGAGAAAGAATCATTGATCAGCTGCCTCCTGCACATCCCCTACTGGGGATCGAGCCCACAACCTGGGCATGTGCCCTTGACTGGCATCGAACCCGGGACCCTTCAGTCTACAGGCTGATGCTCTATTCACTGAGCCAAACCGGCTAAGGCGGAGTCTTTAAAATTATACTAGCATTGCTGTAGCTGGTTTGGCTCTGTGGATAGAGCGGTGGCCTATGGACTGAATGGTCCTGGGTTCAGTTCCGGTCAAGGGCACATGCCGGGGTTGTGGGCTCAATCCCCAGTGTGGGGTATGCAGGAGGCAGCCAATCAATGATTCTCCCTCATCATTGATGTTTCTATCTCTCCCTCTCTGAAATCAATAAAAATATTTAAAAAAAATAAAAATATACAATGAAAGACTGAATAAAATGCGAGGAGGGAAAATAGTTGATAATTCCTAAATTGTGTTTGATGACACTATTTCCAGAGAAATAGTGAGAGATCCTGCTCCCCATATGTGTCCCTGGCAAATGGAAACTAAAAGCCGCTGCATGCCACTTGCTTGGATTCCGCTCTGTTTTGTGTGATGAAGCAAGCAGCTTTGATCGGCAGCCTCCTGCACGCCCCCCACTGAGGATTGAGCCTGCAACCCGGGCAGGGAATCAAACCGTGACCTCCTGGTTCATAGGTCTATGCTCAACCACTGAGCCACGCCGACCGGGCCCTTGTGACTCGTTAGCTCCGATCGCTCTGACCTTGCTCAGGGGCTCCTGATGAATGTCCCCCAGCGCGGCACCATGTTGCAGGGCTGTGTATGGGTGAATGTTTCCCCTGAGAAAAACCACATGGTGGGGATCCCCAGTCAGTCCCCCCACAAACCCTGCCCAGGCACCAGAGCGCGAGCCCGCCCTGGACATCAAAGCAGAAGGTCTTTGAGGTGGCAATCCCCAGGGGATGGAGAGGTACAGCCCAGAGTGAAGGGATGTCTTCAGCGTCGTTGGCAGGTTGGCCCATGGATGAAGACCAGATGCAATGAGTCACCTCGGGAAACAGAATTCCTGGGTGGAGCTGGGAGGTCATGTCCACTGTGCACACTAGTTCTAGAGTCCACTTACTAGTATTGATCCGAAACGATCGAGCGAAGCCATTTACCTCTGATCTGGGAAATCCACACGGAAACCGCATGTATCCAAGGATGAGGTGACAGACTGAGGGGCGCTGACCCAAAGGGGAGAGTGCTGACTGGTCTTCTCCGTGTGGCTGTCACACTTCAGCCACCAAGCCCCCAGGCGGGTCAGGGTTACAGAGTAGAAAGAGTGGGGTTTGGAATCAAGCAGCCCTGGGCTCGAAGGCCAGTCCTTCATCCCTGGCACCAGATGACTGTCCCTTTTTTAAGTGGTTGGGTTTTTTCTCTGTAAAATGGAGATCTAATTACCACTTGATGGAATTGTAAGAATTTAATAAAACAATATAAAAGTGCCCAGTAAGTCCCCTTATTATTTGAGCACCCAGTGAGGTCATTTTGGTTCTTTTTTTTTTTTTTTTTGGAGGAAAGACATTTGATAAGCCTTGAGGTTTCATCTTTGCTTCTGGCTATGAGAGTCTTGTTGTTGGCTGAATTCAGTTTCCTGCAGTTCCAGAAATGAAGGTTGTCTTCTTGCTGGCTCTTGGCTGGGGTTGGACTCAGGTCCTTCCACGTGGTCCCCAGATCTCAGCAACAGACAACCTGCCTTGTGTCAGACCCCCTTCCTCGTTCACTGTCCGTCCTGTAGGAGACTCATGTGATGGGCCTGGTCCCACCTGTGGTTGCCCCCAGGGGACCTCAGCATGCAGTTCTGCTACTGCCGCTGGAAGCATCCGGGTTGCAGTTGTTTGCAGTGACAACACCTGCACCCGGAGGCCTGCCAGCCTTCGCCACAGCCCCCCAGTCCCTCTGTTGTGCAGGGTACCTGTGCTCCAAGGTCCAGGGAGGGGGCGGCTGGTGATCTCGTTTCATGACCTAGACAACGGCGTGGGTCCTGGTACAGGACATCCTCTCTTAGCCTTGGGCCATCTTGATCAATAGGAACCAGACTCTGACTTCCCTCCCTTGCCCAGCGCTGTGCCCGGTGGCCACTCCCTCACTGAGTCCTGTTCACTCTCTTGCTCTTTCCTGAAAAGCATCCTTTCCTTCATTCCCACCTCTTTCCAGCTGCTGGTTCGAGAGCTGAGTCGGTCATTTGGACCAAAGTCTCTCTCTCATGTTTCTCCGTGAGTGCTCACTTCACAAAGGTTAAAGTGCCTGACCCCATGCCAACCCTGTGAAGGAAGGAAGGCAGGTATTCGTACCCCTGTTCAATTCTAGCCAAGGGCACATGTCCAGGTTTCGGACTCCATCCCCAGTGGGGGGCGTGCAGGAGGCAGCCGATCCGATTCTCTCTCATCATGGATGTTTCTCTCTCTCTCCCTCTCCCTTCCCCTCTGAGATCAATAAAAACATATATATATTTTAAAAATGGCAGGGATGGCTTCCCGTGTGGTTCTGTGCGACACTGACTCCATGTTTTAGCCGCTCTGTTTTATTTCCTTTCCGGGACTGACGTTCTTAGACACCATCCAGGCTTATTTCAGGGGAAGGGGTAGTGGACTCAGGTTGCCTCTAGTCAAAGGGGCTAGTTTCCCCCACTTATATCCGAGAAACACTTAGTAACACAGACTCAAGCTCTTTGATCTCTGGGCAAATCAATCCATCACTGCTCTGTCGTTCTTGGTACCCAAGACTGAACCCACTTGGGGAGGTTCTCTGCTACCTTATTGAAAATCCCTTCTATTTATTATTACCCTATACTTTTTTTTTAAAAAGAACTTATTTTCACACTGACTTCAGATTCCTGACTTAAGCTGCTAGCATCCTCTGGAAGAAGCCACTGACATCAACACAGCCCACCAAGATCTGCTGACATCTCTTGCCATCCTTCGATTTAACCAGTAGTGGTTCGCTGGCCCAGCTTACCACCTGGCTTCGTGTGCAGTTCGATTCTGCACATCTCACCAGCATCCTGCTCTCACAGGCTGTCTGCTCCGAATCCACGCACATGTCCCCGGAGATGACAGTGTCAACTTGCCTGCTGCTTCTGAGTGTGGCTGGGAGGGGCTGCCTCTCCCTCAACCGGGCCACCCGGGAGGAGCCAGGCTCCTTCTGGTTCAACAGGTTCTGTCAGTTACCCTCAGATGCATGGGTGCCCTTGCCAGGGTTGCTCAGACCACAAGACGTACCTGGGCCCCACATCACCCTGTGATGGTGTATAACCCTCCTCATGGCCACCGAGGGCTTTGGGCAGACTGGAATTCGAGGGGGAAACCTACTGGTTAGTGGCCACCTGATCCAAAATAGGAACCAGAGCTGCCCACACCTCTCCCAGTCCTCATGTCATTCTAGGATGAAACCCTCCCGGGCAGTCGAACGCATCAGCCTGCCCGAATGGCACACGTCAGCTGTGCAGCCTTCAACACGCTAACGAAAGGGACAGACTTCGGCTGGGGAACCCTCAGGGTTGTAGCTGCTGCTGTTACTGCCACCAGGGTCGCTGCCCAGGTGTTTCTCCAAGTTTCCGTTCGCTTATGGTTGGAAGCAGAAGAGGAGAGGGTAGACCTAGCGCAGCAAGGAGACCGGCCACTACTTTTCACTCACAGTGACCTTCTTAGTTACTCCTCTCTCCAAGTCACGTTTCTTCATCAGTAAACCGAGACTATTCATAGCAGCCATTTCTTAAGGTTGTTGTGAAGATTGTGTTGCTGTGGTTAATCCTCCCCAGAGGGTAGTTTTTGTTTTTAGAGAGAATGGAAGGGAGGGGGAGAGACGGAGAAACACTGATGTGAGAGAGACATCGAATGGTTGCCTCCTGCACGTGCCCCAACTGGGGCCGGGGATCGAGCCTGCCACTGGGGTACGTGCCCTTGACCGGAATCGAACCCAAGACCCTCAGTCCACAGGCCAACACCCTAACCACTGAACTAAACCGGCTAGGGCTGCTGTGAGGATTTAATAAGATATGATATGTTGTTTCAGGGTCTGGCATGGAACTGAGAATCAAAGGTGGTTCCTATTATGACTATTCATGGAGCTTTTCTAATCAATTCATAAAAGCTCTGAGGAATAGAGCCTCAGTGGCTCATGATTCATCTCATTTGTAGAAGAGCTGCCTGTACAGATCTCAGAGTGGATGTGCCCCTCACACCCCCACCCACAGATCACGCCGGCAGAACCTACAAATCACACCCCAGAAGCCACCTTCACCTTCGTTGATGCCAGCTCTCAGCAGGGGAGTTTAGCTAGAAACTTCCTCCCAGCGGAGCTGGAGTATGACACTGCATACCTGGACAGTGAGAGGAGGCTCAGCCCTTTAAGATGAGATGAAATTTCTCTGGGACAGGACTGCCCAGTTCAAGCCGGGCTGCCTGGAGTTAAAATGGGCTCATTTGACCCAGCGAGGTGTCAGAACAACACGTCTCTCTCAGGTGCGCGTGGTGTTGCGTTTCGCTGGTTTTCTGCCCTCCTTGTCTATGACAGCTTGCCTGGCAACCTGAGCCTGCCCCGCCCACTGTCTGGCCCTTTGCCACCTACCTTATGATCACTATCTCAGTAGCAACTCCTGTCTGAACTACACCCTCGCCCATGCTCACCCAGTTTAATCACACTTGACCAGCCAACCCTGCACGGGGTCTCCTGCAGAAACTCCTGCCCAGACAGCTCCTGCCTGCTGCCCGATGCCCCCTGGGGACCTCCAGGAGCGGGGGCCCTGTTGACTAAGCAGTTCTCTGCCGGTGCCCGTGAGAAGCTACAAGCATTTTTGACATGAAGCTTATCTGACCGCCTCATCTGAAGTAGCAGAGCCGCCTTCCATCAGCCCACAAGGGATTTCGGTCTAAGATAAGAATGGAGAAGGCATCATGGGTTGAGGTTGAGACCAGGGTGAGATGGAGCTGGGTTTGATACAGCGTGTGGGAGGCAAAGCTTTATTTGTCTCCCACAGGCCTGTCTTAGGGAAGCCTTTCTGCTCACAAGTCCTTGCTCTGTTTTGACTTTTGATTCCATACGTTCCCTTCTCTTTGGGTTTGGCTCGAGTGAATGTACAAACACACTGGCTGGTGACAACATGCAGAACGGTCCCTGCTCCTTTAGGCCAAGCATGTCAAACTCAAAGGCTGACACGGGCCAAATAAACAAGGTTTGAGAATCTGTGGGCCGCAAAAAAACAAAAGCTTCAGTTTTCATAGAAACGTAGGTTTATTTCAATAGAGACACGCTGAATACAAAGGGCTGAAATAAATGAGTCATCGTTACCATAAAAAAATAGAACATCTTAATAAAAGTTAATATTTTTTTCTTGAACATTAACTTACCAGACACTGAATAACTGCACAAATGAGTAAGTGTAACGCAAATAAACCTATTTTTCTTGTTCTCCGAAAGCAAAATATTTCCTGTTATGCACACCAAACAGGTCAGTCCAAGACTAATGACGTGGCAATCGGCTACTGAAATATCGGCAGCCAATCAATGATTTTCTCTCTCAGCATTGATGTTTCTCTGTCTTTCTCCCTCTCCCTTCCTCTCTGAAATCAATAATATATATATATATATTTTAAAGAAGTTAAAAGGGACAGAAAAACGATGGTATGGCTGTCTCAGGAGGGGACTGTGGTAGCTGGGGAGACTGGAGGATAGTCAAGGGCTTGGAGGTAATGTTAAGGGGGAACTTTAAGCAAGGGTGTCTAATCTAGATCAGACATGTGAGAGACCGTGGTAGCTTGAACAAGGTCGTTGTGGTGAGAGAAGGCAAAGGAGTTTGAAGAAAATATTTAAGACAGAAAGGACAGAGCTTGACTAGATGCTGGAGACGAAGGAGAAATAAAGCCAAGCACGATTCCTAGATTTCTGGCTTGAGAAAAGGAATGAACCCTTGTGCCCGTCGCTGAGACAGGAAATGCTGGACGAGGGCCAGGACTGGGAGAAGGGCTATGTATTCTTTTAGAGAAGTTGAGTCTGCCATACTTTGAGACACAGCGTCAAGCAGGCAGTTAGATGTGCCGGGACATGGATGTCTAGCTGT